TGTTGCCTTCCCCTATATTTCCCTCATGTTTGAAAGCCTCTTAGTTAAGTTTCACATATTTATTATTCAAATAATTTTAAGCACATCCTAGAAAATGCAGACCTGTCATTCAGCCATCTTATTACATATGCTTCTGGCTTTTACATAGAAAATTATTTACCTCTGGGTCCTCTAGTGTTTTAACTCTCCCAGTGTTCATAAGGGTTATATTACCTCACAATCTAGGCAGTTCCCCTTGTAATCTCCTCTCTTCCCTTATGACTGATCTAAAAGCTGGCCAGGTAACTTTCCATATTAGCAGCTAATCTCTTTGTTTCCATATGGTTGAGATCAGTCATCATTTCCATGACTTGTTTCAATATCCCTATTAAGTGAGGAAGTCCTTGGCATAAAGTAGTTTTAAATGATGTCAGGGGTTATCTCATCTTTGTTCTTGCATTGTAAATGCTCTTCCAGTACTTATGTTCACCTCAAGGTACAGTGCTCTAATGGAGAAGGGTGTCTATCCAGGTGTCTATCTTTCTGTGCTAATATATGACACAGATGAAGGATTATCTTGCAACTCATGTAAGAAGAACATCCTACCTCTTTGACTAGCCTATTCTCAGAAGTCAACACTTGGGTTAGAGCAAGTTAAGTGCATTCTTAATCCATTTCAGTGGGAGTTGGGAATCACAGTTCTGTATCCTTTCACCAAAGAGAGTGATAAAGAGGCAATACATTACAGCATTTACTTTTCAACAAGCCTACAGGGGCACTGTGAATTCTGCTAAAAATATTGCACCCGTTTTTAGGCAGCCCAATATCAGAAACATGTTGATAAAATGGGGAAGTCATAGTTAAACGTTGAATGACTATGTATTTAAAAAAGATAAACTTTGAGCAGGGCTTTGGCTTAGAATGGCCAATAGCAGTTATGCCAATAAGTGACAGTGAAAATGAACAGAACAACAAGTCAGTCTACCAGGAAAATGCTTGTCTATAATTATTTCTGTATAGTTGCTGACAAGATATAAACTGGTTAGGGGGGATCAGCAGGTGCTGGGGGAGTCCCTGTTCCCCCAAGCACCGCAAGGAGTGACCAGGAACAACGGTCACAAGCTGGCGGAGGGAAGGTTTAAGTTGGATATCAGGAGGCGCTACTTCACGGTCAGGGCGGCTAGGGTCTGGAACCAGCTTCCAAGACAGGTGGTGCAGGCTCCCACCCTGGGGGTTTTTAAGAGGAGGTTGGATGACCACCTTACTGGGGTCGTTTGACCCCAGTATTCTTTCCTGCCATGGCAGGGGGTCGGACTAGATGATCTGCTCAGGTCCCTTCCGACCCTAGAAACTATGAAACTAAGATGCTTGGTGCTACCAAAGGCACAAATGCCCAGGCAGAACTTACAAGCTGGAAGACAGACAGAGAGAGACAGTGCACTGGGAGATCCAGAGAAGAATCATGTTGAGATCATTTTAAATAGCAGTTCTGGGGGTTTTCCACCATTTTGCACTGATAAAAGACATGGGTCTTCAACAGGGATATGCATGGGATATTTGTACTTTTGTCTGATGTCACACAATGCCCTCGTCAGAAAAGGTCCCATTGCACTAGGCATTCTACCAACACATAGGAGGAGATAATCCCTACCCTACAGATTTCATAGCTTGGCTAGGATAGACGGTGAGAGCATACTATATTTGGATAAGAAAATTATTCCATATATAGGGGCCAGTCTACTTAGCTCAGGTCTGGTAAGCTTTGCCAACAGTTAACTTGTTTACCTAAAACATCTCTCCTGCTGTAAGATCCAGCACTATGGCTCCCAGAATACTAACTGTGCTACTTATAGACCTGCCCTAATACCCCGCTAGTCTTACCACATTAATGGTAGTAACCATCACTTGGGAGAAAGCACTGTATGGAAAAATAAGGCATTTGCAAGAAGAATTGAGCCTTTAAGTGCTAATTTATTTCTTGCAAGGTGCATCTACATGTATAATTAATTTGAAGCAATAAATTCTGGAGTAGTTTGAGCCAGAATAAACTACTCCCAGGCACAGTGTCTACACATGTGCTTGAGACAGCAGCAATTTGAGCTGAGGTAGAACAGTTTATCCCAGGGCCGCTCCTGCTGTGCTCTGCTCCAGGAGGCAGCATCAGGCAGTGGAGGAGCTGGCTGAGGCACAAAGGTGCAAAGCTGTGCAACTAACCAGAAGGCAAAAGTCTCACCCCCTGCTGCCTGGAGTGACTGGGCACAATTTATGCCTGTGGTCAGCATCTACACCTGTGTTTAATAACAGTTAATTACTCCACCGTAAGAGAATACTATCTCTGACTACTCTCTTATGGTGGTGTTAATTAGTTTACTGTGGCCTAATGCCATTGCACATGTAGATGGTGACACTTTACTCTGCAGCAATTAGTCAACTCCGCAGTAAAGTGCACATGCAGACACAGCCACAGTATAGTTAATGTAAATGTAATCTATATGCTATACTGTAGTATTTACACAGTTTGATTCACACAAAATAAACAGAGGCCAGATTCAGAGTGGTAGCAAGGGTTTTGCTGTTAGTGGAAATTCATATCAGTTTGGCTAATTCTTCTCTCTTCCTTCACATGTGTGTTGAAAATATCATTTTGTGTTAAATGTCCAGTAGGCATTTGTAGCCCAAGTATACATGTGGCTATAGAGAAGGTATCACTTTACCAAAAGCATCCTGGTCACTTCCCATTTACAAACAGGGCAGACATGATATAACAGCAGTGCTGTTTCAAATTAGGTAGCATGTTGCAGTTACAAAAATGAATTAAACAGATGTAGTACATGGCTGGCTTCTACTCAAGTTGGAGATATATTTTAATCAGAGCAACATAAACAGATTTCACTCCAAAAGTCAGACCAGATCCTTTTTGGATTTGCAGAAAAGCAGAGTGATCAGCTAGGTTTGCCAGAACAGATATGGATGTTCACACCAGCAGCAAAATTAGATACGGCTTTGTCACAAGCAAAAGCAGGTAAAGGTCCTACAGAAGCTGAACTAAATCTGCCCTGTTGCTTAGGGACACCTTTGTAAGTGCAAGGGGTGGGAAGCACAGAGAGATTTGTGGACCAAACAAGCAAATAGGCATTCAAGCCTGACATCATAGATAGAGCAAAGGAAGCATAATTTTCTTGCTGTGCAGCCCTCTGACTCCCAGATACGTCTCTGCTTTCTTATAGCTGCTAAGTACAGCCCTGCAAAATGTTTGCGAGAAAATCTGATACTACATGAAACTCATCTGGTTTTATGTTTTGTTATAACTGCTCCAAAACTAAAGTACCACTCTGCTGAAAGATTTGTGCACCTGTGGCCAGTTCTGGCATTACACTGAAAGCTAGTCAAAGTTAAGAACAGATGCCTTAGAAACAAAGCTAAGTACATGTGGTTATTTCAGCTGAGTTCAAGTCTGGGATTTTGGGTTTGTTTTAGCCTGAATCTGAGTGTTAAGTAGAATATGCATCCCTTCTAAATAGAAAATGAAGAGGTTTTTTTGCATGAATCCCTGTAAAGTGAAACATCCAACTTGCATACAGTCCACTGTTAAACAACTTGAATCCTCCTCTCTCACTAGCAATCAAAACCACACTCTCCCAAAGGACTATTCAGTGTTACTTTGGGACTCAGCCCTCCCAGCTAAGACTCTCTAACTTGTGGACATGATAAATCCACATGTTTGTCTCCCTGTTTCCCCCTCTTCCTTTTATGGCTCTACTGATGTTCCTGAGAGTGGGCATTATGTCATTTTGGGTACATCTACATGTGCACTAGGCCTGTGCGAAGCAGCTAGTATTTGCTTTGGATTCAGATTCAGCTGATTCAGGGGACAATAATTCGATTCGGTGATTCAAATCATTGTCCCAAATCAATTTGGCTGAATCTGATTCAAAGATTCGGCTGCTGCCAAATTGGCCAAATCTCTGAATCAAACAGGCTCCATCCCCACCTGCTCTCCCAGCCCTGTCAATGGCTGCCCTGCCTGGCCCCAGTGTCCCGGCTCTTTAAAAAAAAAAAAGCCCCACACTCACTGACTCCTGCCAGGTGGGGAGACAATCCCCGCTACCCCCCACTGCTCCGTGCTGCATGGGGAGGCTCAGCCATGAGCCCCCAGAAGCCCCAGTGGCTGCTGCAGCAGCTGGTGAATGTGTAGCTTTTTTTTTTTTTTTAAAGAGCCGGGACACTGGGGCTGGGTGGGGCAGGAGAGTGGGCAGGGGATGGGGGCTTTTGGCAGAGGCCCCCATGCAGCATGGGGTAGTGGGAGGCAGTGGGGATTGCTACGCCCACCTGGCAGGAGCCAGTGAGTGTGGGGCTTTTTTTTTT